GCGCTGTGATTGGATGGCTTTACAAGCAGCCAATTAGAGACGCGTTGTACAGGGAACCAATCATTAGCTGAAGCTAACATTGCACATGCGTTTCCTACGTCATCACTGTTTACTGACCAATCACATCATAGAAAGCGAAAAGTCTTCATTTACATGGTCCGCCTATAAATAAAGCCTCCGGAGGAGCCGTCTAGCATTGCTTATTGAACAGTCAGCGTTGATCATGCCTGAACCAGCCAAGTCTGTACCAGCCGCCAAGAAAGGCTCCAAGAAAGCCGTGACTAAACCCCAGAAGAAGGATGGGAAGAAACGCAGAAAGACCAGGAAGGAGAGTTATGCCATCTACGTGTACAAGGTGCTGAAGCAGGTCCACCCCGACACCGGCATCTCCTCCAAGGCTATGGGCATCATGAACTCCTTTGTCAATGACATCTTTGAGCGCATCGCAGGAGAAGCCTCTCGCCTGGCTCATTACAACAAGCGCTCCACCATCACCTCCCGGGAGATCCAGACCGCCGTGCGCCTGCTGCTACCCGGAGAGCTGGCAAAGCACGCCGTGTCTGAGGGCACCAAGGCTGTCACCAAGTACACCAGCGCCAAGTAATCGCCTTCTTCCCCCCGCTCTGATAACACAAAGGCTCTTTTAAGAGCCACCCACATGGTCTTTCTCAGAGCTTTAATCCTCATCTAAATCATCCAGTATTATTGGGTGTGCATGCTGTCTCCCAATTCATCTAGTAAGTCTCACACACTAGAAAATTATGTCTCTTGCTCTATTCATCTACGGCTTATTCCGTCTCCAATCGCTTCAACTGAAATCAATCATTAAAACCTTTTTTTGGGGGGCCCTAAATTGCCACATTACGAGCTGTCCCCAGCTCTGAAAACACGTGCAATTCATTATTGGTCTCCGAACAGAATATCGGGAATCTTGAACTGCTCACAAGGCAATGGCTCTTCTCGGATTACAGATTGCCACAAAGTGGCGGCAATGGATCGCATAGAGTACGTGCACACGGAACGGATGGGGTTAAAGGCTTCTGAACTGCGGAGTATTACAAACGGGTAACACGAACCCTCAGTGAAGGCAGAGAAAAGGATGTACAGTGACCGGCGGGTGCTCTCAGTGTAACTAAGTAAGAGGAAGGCAGCATTAAAGCTGCTCTCACACACAGCATGTAAGGCGGGCAGTGCAGGGACAGACAAAGCTCTATTAAGATCGGGTGGGTGGCCCTTAAAAGGGCCTTTTATAGAGAATCACGGAAACCGGGTGCAGCTTAATTTTAACCTCCGAAGCCATAAAGAGTGCGGCCCTGGCGCTTAAGAGCGTAGACTACGTCCATGGCGGTCACAGTCTTCCTCTTGGCATGCTCGGTGTAGGTGACAGCGTCGCGGATGACATTTTCCAGAAAAACCTTGAGCACTCCACGGGTTTCCTCATAGATGAGGCCGGAGATTCGTTTCACTCCTCCTCTGCGAGCCAGGCGGCGAATTGCGGGCTTGGTGATCCCCTGGATGTTATCACGGAGAACCTTCCTGTGCCGCTTAGCGCCACCTTTCCCGAGACCCTTTCCGCCTTTGCCTCTTCCAGACATGACTTGCTTCTGTAACGATCACAGACGAATGAAGAGCCCGAGTCTCGAGCCAGGCTTTATATAGCGTGCAGACGGACCTGATGGGGAACTGCACAACAACTAGGAGGGGCGAAAGAGTGAGTGGATGGCCGTGACGTCACGCCCACTCATTGTCCTTTTGGCGCTCAAAACGAAAACCATATACAGACTCTCCACTGAGAACACGTGGGGGAGGGGCAGAAACCAAATCACTGCTCAGATTGTAAATTATGGCTCCTAGCGCCAGCAATGACAACGGATCTAACATAAGGACAATGTGTGTAGTGTTAGTAATAGTATGTAAACCACATATACCTAGAATGTGGCTTTAACAGACTCTCTTTGTCTAGATAGAGAAATGTTTGTTTTTGGTTTTCAACATCTTCTTACATAGTATTCTGAGTAAAGGAATACAGTCATAGACTGCTTACCATCTCTTTATATCATTTTCACCCAGGCAGTAAGTATATTGCAACTGTATCTGAAAAGTCGAATCTGTAACAATTGTAGCAGATGAAGTAGCAGCACAGGGTGTCAGTCAGAAATTACTTGAAACTAACAAATTGCTACAAGTAATGGAGCATCAAAACTATCTATTAACTGGATACGGTGTGACAACTGTCAGCACACAGACAAATTGTATTCCATAGGCAGCGTGTTACAACTATATCTCTATTATCAGTCAATGGCCTGAGCATCAGTACATGCCTATAGCCGCCTGAATCGAACCATAGCACATAATATGTGGCTCTCGGATATGCCTGAACAACATCCCTTCTTAAAGGGACACTATACGCACTCATACCACTTCAGCTCATTGTAGTAGTCTGGGTGCAATGTCCCTATTGCCCTTAGTTCTGGGGGTGGGGTAGCAAAAGGGGTGGTATACCTGTTACAGATAAGAGGCTTAAGGAGGGATACATGAAACATATTAGAAATGAGCCAGATAATTAGACACAGGATTAATCCTGAAAATTATTCTAAAGGGGCCAATAAACCTGGGTGCAATCTTCATGCCAGGAACCTTTAGTTTAATATTCTGTGTGGAGAGCAATACCCACCTAGTAACTAGGGTTGGCACCACGCTTCTTATCAGCTTACATTTTGAAACTGCAACAACTGTTTCTAAAGCAGTGTGGACTTTAGTCCAAGTCTCACGTATACATGTGAGATGGTCATCCAGAGAGGGAATAGCAATGTCAGAGAATACCGCAGGGAGTACAGTAGGATTACGACCGTTGTTAACAAAAAATGGACTATGTCCAGGTGAGTCATGGGATGCATTATATCTGGCGAATTTGGCCCATGGTAGCAAATCAGACCAGTTTTCCTGAGTGCCATCAATAAAACATCTCAAATATTGTTCCAACGATTGATTGGCTCGCTCAGCCGCACCATTGGTTTGAGGATGGTATGAAGATAAAAACTATATTCTATACCCAACTGTTTAGAAATTGCTTTCCAAAATCTTGACACAAATTGGGAACCGCTATCTGACACAAAATTTTGCAGAATACCATGTAATCTGACTATTTTGCGTATAAATATATGAGCCGGCACTTGGGAGAAGGTATATTTGAGCGGAACAAATTGTGCCATTTTATAAAAACAGTCAACAATAAAATTAGGATGGTGTTATAGTTTTTAGAATTTGGGAGTTACACATTAAAGTCCATAGATAAGTGAGACCATGGGGCACGAGGTATAAGGAGCGGTTGCAATAACCCACAAGGTAGTTTACGGGGGACCTTAGAAAACGCACAAATATTACACGCCTCCACATACTTTATGATGTCCTTTCTAAGACATGGCCACCAAAATGATCTAGAGATAGTGGACACTGTTTTATTAATGACTGGATGTCCAGCTGTCACATTATTGTGAAACATTCTTAGTACTTCCTTTCTTTCCAGTAACGGAATAAGCAACCTATCTTGAGGTTTATCACTAGGTGCTTGGGTCTGGACTGCCATAATAGCACAAAGGAAAGGGGAAGACAAGGAAAAAAACACGTAGCAATGATACATTCAAGTGGCATAATGGGAGAGCTCTCTTGTTCTTGTTCTGCCTC